TCTATTATGTTAGTGTAATTCCAAATTTTATGCTTGAAATTACAAATAATACAGACATTATTGTCCAGTAATGTATATTGATTTTAATTAATGCAACGGTATTAAAATATTTTCAATATATCTTTTTATACATGTTTTATTCATTCATAATGGAATAAACACATTTATTATTTTAGAAAGTATTTCAACAGTGTTTCTAAAGAAAAAGTTCCACGAACCTCGCGTTAACTAAATTCTGTCGCAGTAAACGCGACCATAACATTTAATAATTCATAAATCGAGTTACTTGAATTCACATTAATCGAAGCTAACCTGTAATTCATTTCGTTCGAGTTGGTTCTAGCGTTTTGTGATGAGAAGCATAATGAAAAACACCTTTTATAATGAAAAAAATGTGTTTATCCTTGGACGAAATGAGCTTTTAACGAAACTCTCGTAGAATTTCTTTGCAAACGAAGAGATACCCACCCCGTCAGTTTCGGGGCACCGGTTAAGCATCTACATCCGGACCAGGGGGCAGGTAAAGAGAGGCGTCTTTTGAGGTTCTCTTTGCCGCCTAATTGTATCGGGTGTCTTAATCAGCGTGTAAGCTTCTAAAGTCAAAGGTCTTGAAAAGAAGACCGAGGCGGAGGCAGCCTTCATACTCTGCATCTCAAAGGCTGAATTTAAAAGCCACGTTAAGCCTCTGACATTATACCCGATGCATTTACCCCACCCACGAGCATGAATTTAGATTGTGACTTAGGCGTTGCGTGTGTTCCTTTACACGGGATTGAACCGCGCCAGCTACTTTTCCCACATTTCTTCCTTATCTTCCTTATCTTCCTTATCTTCCCAGAGAGTCCTCCTGACGACACAGAATCCTGAACAGGATAAATGGCGGGGGGTTAGAATGTGGAATTTAGTCCTGCTTGCTTCAGGGAATTACTGAATATTGTATGTTGCTAGTAACATTGATTTTCCATCGAAATTGAAATTAACTGTATGCTTCTGAATTTAGACGTTTCGTTGACCAGTTAACTGTGTAGTTTAGTTTGAAAAATCTAAATCTAATTTAGAGTACATTCTAATGAGAAACCAAAGCGAAATGAAGAAGAACTATACATTTATCTGAAAAAATTAATAATTTATCGTTGAAAAACTTAGTACCACCTTGCGTTTTAGGATGACATTGATGTTTTAATAACATTTGATTTCTTAATAATCTTTTAGTGAGCTTTATTAGTTGGAGTGACATAATGTACTTTTCGTTGGATTGTTAGAATTAATATTAGAATTACTACACTCGTCTAAATGGATTTTAGTTTTGTTATATTGTGATTATTGATATCTTAAAAATATTAACTATCCGAAATGATTTTAAAAGTAAATAGTTTTACTTAAATACTGTAATGAATATATGAAGAAACTGAAAAAAGTCTATTGCTGAAAATATTATAAGGATTGCATATAAATCATATTAAACGCTCGATAGTTCTGGCGTTAAGATTATTATTTGATATTTATGCTTAGGAAACAGTATAAAGTGAAAATAAAAACGAAAGGAAAGATATTCATTCTGTTTAATATTCCTCAAATAAAGCAGTGTTTTGAAATATTATTTTTGAAATGTCTACTGGAAAAAATATGATATTTCTTTTAATGCTGTTAATATAATTTGAAACGGAACAGACTATTCAGTCTTTATTGCTTGAAATAATATTTTACGTAGTAGTGATCATGAAACAGTTTTATTGCATGCTTTGTTTAGAACAGGTACTGGTGACGAATAGAGTAGATAATTACGGGACAGATAATACAAAACTGCTAATAAAAATCTGCTTGAATACAGACCCATTTTTATTTTCCATAAGCATTCCCTTATATACAAATATCTCTAAATAATAAAGTGAAAATACTAAATATCATAAACAATTACATAATTCCTATTATCACTGTGCCGTGTTTCGTATGCAGCATACCACCAAACATTTTCCGTTCAACCGTGATATACAAAAATAAATGTAATAGTACGTTACCGAAACTAATTGTTAAAAATGTCGAAAGTATAGCCGCCGTTACTGTATCAAAATGATCACGCATTCGCTGAACACAAGGATCTCGCGAAATATGAAAATGAAATTCTTGGTTCCGAATAAAAATTGCGTTCACGGTAATCCCCGTGTCGCGTTTACGGTAACTTTGAAATACGCAACAAATATATTTAATTACCCGCGTTATAATGCATGCATCTTCATAATTCAGCGCGCGTCACGTAAACAGAAATAAATAAAAATAATATTTTCATAACTCGATTCGCCCCGTGGAATTAGTATAAAATCCCACGGACGTTATAATGGAAATGATATTGTTACGTGTTATTAACAAACGAGTGCGCAGCAGAATTCATTTATAGCTTTCATCTAATGAATATGAATTTAAGCTGGCGGGTTGGATCAGATATAGGAAGGGTCTTTGATAGACAACCGGCCGCCACGTGCTGTCCATATACTGAAAACCAATATAATCCGCGTAGAATGTAACGACAATTCACCGGTACCTATATTTGATCGCAATAACAAGAGCCTTGTTCGTTCGTTCCTAAAGACGGTAAGACGATGAACGGTTCATACGTTCAATGCTCTTTGAAATGGCATTGCGACCGGTTCGTTTCATCTTGTTCATTAACGTCGATGAACAGTCGAAATTTGCCTTTCCGACGGCTCCGTCGGCTTATATTTCCAATTCGAACGTCGACAGTATTCTTTACCGCGAGCGCATCCGACGCGTCATTTGAAAACGTGAAAACATATATTTGATTTTAAACGTTCCTGTGTAATAAAGTAACCGCGCGCGATATTATTATATTTAAATTGCGGGTAAACGTTTATCAATTTAATTGAACGGGATTAAATTGCAGGCGCTGGTACCACGAAAAGTTTAACGTTGAAAAACTTGCGAACTCGCGCCGCTGTGGGTTTCACATTATTTTTTTTGGCTATTGTTTGCGGATCTGTGTACGTAATTTATAACGAAACAATAATTAATCATATTTATTAAATATCTCATTGTTTTACGTTGAGGTTTGTGGAACAGAAGCTGGAAATACGTTTCGTTAACCTATGCGATTCGTGTTGTAAATTGAATTGTTGTGAAATAAAGAAATCAGAGATTTTCATTTGATTTTATTAAGTTTAATATTGGATGACCGTAATTTGTAACCAGTAATAATTAGCAATTTTACGTGTTATTAACTGTCTGTAATGTAATGAAATATAAAAGTTAAAGGAATTATATTTATCCAATATAATTTTATATACTTCTGATAAGTTTCGTTTAACAATGTAAGTGTTTGTGCACTTGATTTTTAAGCAGATTGTCAAGAATACCAGAGCGTAGGCATGATTTTGAGTGTACAGGTTTACTTTTAATTGCTAATTAACAATTACCTATTTGTATAGGTTCATGCTTTTAAACATAAAAAAGCTTACATGAAATATATACATAACTATGACTCATTAACACCATTACTTAACAACAACTTGACAAACGCTTTCTTGATCTTGTTTTATTATATTTTTTTTCCTCCTTTTATGTATTTTACCAGTTTTATTAATTATCTAAAAATATATGTTTTACTAACTATTCATGTATTTGTTACTTATGTTCTCTTTTTATTTTTTAGTTATACAACATAAACATAATTTTGTCCACATTATGTCATTATCCAGGAATAAGGAAAACATTTGTGTACGGTTTAAAGGGACTGAGCAAGCTAAAAAGAATTTAGATTGTTAAAAAAAGACTATTATATATGTATAGTTCAGTCAAAGAAATTTTAAAACAACATTTATCAATGTACGTGAAAATCGTTTTACAAATATATTACTAGTAATCACAAAGACTTAAAATGTATGATACCTGTCAAATTATATAATACAATCCGTCATCATCGAAAGTGACAATAAGTCCTTTTCTGTATCGATTCGTGCGATACTCGAATGCATCAAGGCCACAATACTTTTCGTTTCATTCTCCCCAATCTTTCCTTACTCAAAATTTTCCCATTAAGCTTCAGGTATTTCACTACCTAAAATCTAATGTCTGACGTTAGAATTCCTCCTACCATATCTTTAGCTGACAACGTTATTAACCACTTGCCTTGATTTATTTCTACTATGATCGATACAACTACTTTGTGATTAGTAATTTATTAAAGAAGAGAGAACAATTCTAGACATATTTTATGTCTATGTTTGCTCCGCAGTATAATAATTGCTAAAAGGAGAACAATATTTTATTCGATTTCTATTTAAAATCTTCACCACGAGTAAGACATGTTACTATAAGGCAAGGGATTTATCACATTAAATAAGAAACAATCCCATAAACCTTCACAGATTCCTCTACCAGAATTACCACAGAAAATTCGCCTCAGCAGCAAAGTATCGTTGGAAACAAAATGTCTGCCTATTCCTATCTCTTCAGAATCCACATACAATTCAGACCTCGTACGCTGCCATTCAAAATAAGAGAATTTGCATGAACATTATGTTAATATGTATATCATGTTTATTATGTTGCTGGTGACGATGACTGATGACCGTTGTTATGTGGGTGATTCTAGTGGGGCCTGTGTTCGGGGGCCGATGCGGCGCGGAGGCGCTCGGGCTGGGGTTAGGGTTGTCGCTGGGCCCAGCCTACAGATTCGCTCTGCCCCCGGGACTCGCTGCCAAGACCACCCGCTGCCTTGTATTCGACCAAGGTAGGCCTGCCAGCCATCTTCATTAACACGTTAACCGTCGTATGCATCTTTTTCGATGTAGAAGCAACTTTTCCTAACAGGACCCCGTGCGCTTTAATCAACGCACGTATGCATCGCTAGATATGTATTCCCCTTTACTGCACATGTTCCGATACATGGTACGCAATGGCACGTAAGCCGTATAAAGATATGGCCGATACATCTTGTTGGATGTGTACGACGAAGATTGTTATAAAAAGTTCGTGGATAGGGACGTATCTTTATATATCTTTTCATTTATACTGGGTGGGTCGGGTATTGGCGACTGGAATGGAGGTGATTCTCTGTGGAAAAATAAGGAGATTTTATATGGAATTCTTTGGTGCGAGACTTCGGTTTCGAAAAATATGGTTTTCTTCTTTTTTATTGTTTGAACAGTTGTTTCGACGAATTCAACGCGAAGGAGGCGCAGTATGGTGGATATGATTCTCTTGTAGGTGGAAGCATGAAGCTGCGGATATTAGTTTTGCCTTTTGGAAGAAATGTTGTATATTTTGTAGTGGGAGCGATTGAAACAGTTCATTGTTTTTGCTAAAGTGTTAAGGTACGTTTACGTGAACTGGAACGTGTTTTATAATGGAAGTAGTAGAATCGGCGAAGACGAATGTCTTAAGAACGATTCATTTTAATTCTCAACTGTTAAGTTCGAGGTCAATCCATGGACTCCATGCATTTTCTTCGTTAACTCTTTGGGGCACACGATTTTAAAGAAAAAGTCCAAATTGCATAGAAGTATGAAATATAACAATCGTTAAGAATATATTAAAAATGTATATTATGCGTAATTTTACGCTTTCAACATGGCAGTTTTTAATCTATCTGACTCCAAAGAGTTCACAACAATGTCAACATATTCAACACAAATAAAAGTTTACTACTATTTAGTTTCTCGTGCACACTAAATTGACTCGGAAGCTTAATTACGAAAAAATATCAAAATCTTCTTACGCAAGCTAGAAAAATTCAGATGCATTGTTCACCGCGACAACTGAGGGTTAACACGAAACTACTGTATTGCTGTTGTCAAAATTTACTGTCCTTTCAAATGTGAAGGTATAAAAAGTAAACTTTCCCTCAAGAAAGTACAAAATTATTTTCCTTATCTCGCCTGTGACATAACCTGTAAAAAAAGTATTGCAGCCAAATTTGCTTGCAACGAAACAACTGTTGCAAGCAGTGTTTCCACCGATCAGTGAAAAAGATAGAGATGTTTCCGTGTAAAGTTTGTCGGACACTCGGTATGTCGAAATCACAGTACAGGGCATTATAACAGCCGTTAAATATAATATGTTTATATATACACGCGGGAAATTATTAATTTCTCAGCATCACATACCAACACGATTCGCGATATCTATTGCTAATTCAACAAAACCTGTTACTTTCTTGCGATCTCGAAGTCTAATGTTACTTAACAGGGTGTGAACATACAGTGTTTTTTAAAACACCTGGTGCAAGCTAGCCTGACGAAATAATTAAACTTGCCAAAGTGTTACTATCTAATACTTACTTTCCTATTTAATCTGTAAATATCAACAATTTTATTACACTCGACGGTGACAAGATAACAAGTATTTGATTACTGCATCGTAGCATGATATTTATTACAATGATTAACCCTTTGATTCGCCATCTCTTTCGTAACTCTAATTTAAAATAATTTGCAGACAATTATTGCGAAAGAAATTCTACTTCTCCTGCGAGTACTTTATGTGCATCAAACATTGCTTGCTGATAACAAAAAATGAGACAATAAGACAATAAGTAAATACAACGTCTGTTCGATACAATTGATCGGGTTGCAACAAGCAACTACATTAACCTGTTTCATAAATATCATGGGGATTGAGATCCGTTTTTCTTCTTAGTCGATTATAATTTTATTCAGTCGAATCCACAGATGAGTTTTCTGGCGTATTATAATGCAGGAGGATAAGAATTATTGGAAATATGAAGCGAAACGAGTTTAACGTAACATTAACGGTCGAATAGCGTTAGATAATGGTTTAATAAACGATTGATTTGAGGATCACATCATCGAACCGATATATTGAGACGAGAATATCGATTGCTCTGTTAATTTCCGCAATTCCCTGGGCTTAGAGTGGTCCATCGATCCCCGAAATCCAGCTATAAGATCGACTTGCGCGTTTGCAGAGACTAAGCCAACGAGCTATGCTCATCTTCGTGTCTACAAATGTAACAAGACCAATTGTAAACAAGCTTGCACTTCCGTCAGATATCTCTAGGCTGGTTTATATCAGTAATGCGCGTCATCGTATATTAGAAGTCAGCATCTGCGAACACCCGGAAAATATGAACGATCGTGTTGGCCTCATTGAGCTTACGCAACATAAAAGGAATGATATATGGTTCTATTAAAAAATTTTGCTTCATCCGATTCTTCGGATCGGTTAATCCTTTGCGAATGAGAATCTTCCAAACCTTTGAAAGCTCTTTCCATGAAAGATTGAATTACGCATCGAAATCTTGATTATCAGAGAAAAAAGAAAACCACATACACAATCTCTCATTATTTGAATAACTAAATTATTTACTCGTAGCTATCGATTTTAGATATGACAGCTCGAAGTCGTCGTTACGACGATATTTAAAGTCAGCGACAAGGGCTAATCGTAGCGACATTTTCTCTCTGTTGTCAACTGCTCGTGTTCAAATTAATTAATTTTATTTTTATAATTGTGAGGTGCATTCTATTCAACATTTATGTATTAGCCCTGTACCGTACAATATCGGATCAGACTCGTGAGAAAGTTTTCGAGTGGAAGTTATAAAAATGAAATGTTACTTAATTGGTTTGAGTTGAAATTAAGCGTTTTGTTTTCTATTGCTAAGTTTTAGGTCTTGAAGTAAAAGTGGATATAGATGAATTGGGAATTTTACTTTGTTTTCTTGGTAAATGATTAAGAACGAAATTATTCTAGGCAGCGCAGTTATGGAAAAAATTATAGGACAAGGAGTTAATAGTTTCGAAAACGCATATATACCGTGTAAAGATATTTCTTTTCGTACAATAATGTACGATTTCTTTTGTGTCATTTAAACATGTAACCGCATTTCGTTTTTTCATTTCCACATGTTTGACTGTTTGTGCTATCCTTTTTTAATATTACATAAATTTTTAACTTCTTTTATATCTTCCTGCATTCAGTACACGAGTTGTATAGATTCTGCATAAAATTTTACATCATTTCGAAAACCAGGCTCGAAATCGACTGCCTAAAAACAAAATCGCACGCCTTCGAGAAGCGTCGCTGATCGTCAACGAACGGTCGTGGTATTTTAAACGCGAAAAAGGTCCGATTCACTGCATTAACCTTAATCATACCACGTGTTTTTATAACGAATCATACCACGATGTGATTCTCAGTCACTTATGAGAATAAAAGGAACGATTAATATGCTATTGTTTTTGTTTATGGGGCCCAAATTTTGAAAGCCCAAAAAATCTTTTGGAAATGCAATATGAAATAATAAAAAAATTTAAGTAAAAAGTTCATATGTGACTCAAAGTTACATCGTGGTCCGGTTACGGTTAATAACAGAAAAATAATCTTTAAATTGAATTTTAAAAGAACTGAGTAATATTTATACTTGTTAAATTTTATTTAAACTGTGTATCATGAGTCTAATATGTTATTATAAGGCAAGAGGTTAATAATTATGGAAGGGTACAAGCTAGAACGAAGAATCTTATTTATCTTCTAATCTTAATAATAAATTTACAGTCATTGGTCTCCCAAAAGAGCATCCCAATTTTTATAAATATACTAGAAGAACAGCTATGTGTACCTCACAGATACTTCAATCTTGGAAATGTGTATGCAAAGACCCACTTCTGGATTTAAGAGCATTTTGCGTATGGAATTTTTGTACGAAAAGCCTCTAAATTATGCACTCGCTTGTTCCGCGCAAAGACGCGCCTCAGAGTGGAATTTCAAAGTCAAGAACAATGACTAATTTCGAGCTTTCTCGTTCTCCTAGATCATCGTTGCGTCGAAACGACGAGGCTCTCCTCACAACGGAGGTATTATTTTTCATAACCGAGGCGTAAATGGTCGTTTCGTGTGATTGCATGGATCCTCCGGGATGAACGCATTCCTGGATTTACTCTAGTTGAAACGGAGAGGGTAATTCCAACGATCTTCGAAACACCTTTTTCCTCCGCGTTTCGGATGAACGCGGATCTATTGAAGTACCATGAGTGTGACATCATTCTCGAAAAATAAATTCCTCTGTCAAGTGTGATATCTATTTAGAAAAAATAAGTTCATCGCTAAAGAATCCTAGAGACCATTGATTCTAACAGAAGACTCAATGCATGCATATTAAAAAATATTTTTATGCATATGGCTTTTGATTGACTAATCTTTGTAATGAAAACAGCTTAACTGAAATTATTACAGTTTTGAAATAGTTCTCGTAGTTATTGTGGTATATAAGAGTATGTAATATACATTAGGTATTCCAGTACTTAATCCACATGCATATTGTATCAAATTCAATATTTACTTTGCCATAAATCAATAATTCATGATATTATAACAGTAGATACTTATTCATACTTTCCGCCATTTCTTATTTAAAATAAAAATTCTATATTCGCTGTAAAATCCGCTCATAAAACAATATTTGATTATTTCCTTCTCACTTTCGCGTAACAGTAACGTTTCTAAATAAATAAAAAATTCTCAAACCAGTAACACATTGCGTACTGGTAATGAGAAATCTCATTATACACTCATCAAGACACTTAGCTATACAACTTTACTGTTTACCACAGCATTAAAAAAAATATTAAATTTGATTGGAATTGATTTAAAATATTTAAAATATATTATATAACAATATATCTGAGTTTTTGTACGTAGAATGATATAAGTTGATCTCACTGAAAATTGCCATCGAAATTCAGTTTCCTGAAAATTAGCCGGTACGCA